TGCTCCAACACCTATGAGTACAGATTTTCATAAGTTTAGCTGAGGATGAAAGTGAAGCCTGTATATCTGTCATAGGAAGCCAGTTATATCTGTCATAGTGGTTCAGACCAGACATAGCTTGCACAGTAAGCATTTTGAGTCGCTTTACTGCTGTACCAACGCAATTGCATTGGGTGGGTGTAAAAAGGATTCAGGTATTTGAAGGGAACTGTGAATTTGGGTCTTCAAATACAGATCTCTGAAGAATTAAAATTGAAATGCTATGTTGATAGTGATTATGCAAACCAGAAAGTCCAATTCTGGGATTGTGATATTGTTTAGAGGGGCTTTAATTGGTTGGAAGTCCAGAAAGCAAACAACTGTCACCATTTCTACTGTGGAGGCAGAATTTATTGCTTTACCTGAACTCTGTTCAGAGATAACTTGATATGTACAGGTGCTACAGGATTTAAATGTAAACTTACATGAAGCTGTATTGGTGTATGAGCATAATGCTGCCTGCATTAAAATGGCAGCAGGTAACAGAGTAAAAAATAGAAGCAAGTATGTGGACATTAAATATTGTAATGTAAGATAAGCCATTAAATCCAAATTGATTAGCTTGCTTCACTGTGCATCAGAAGACAATCTGGCTGACATAATAACCAAGTCATTAGATGGAGTGCACCATAGGAAGAATATTAAAGTTAATTGGATATGTCTCTTTCAGTCACGAAGGGAGGAGTGTCACAATATTCATGAAGCTGTTGCTTGTGTTTTGTGTTATGTTGAAAGAATCTACTATTGGTATTGTACAATTTATTCATATGTTATTATGTATATAAAGAAGTTAATGAATCCTGCTGAATCAGTCATCTGTGTGTGCTTTCTGGATTTGATTTCTGCAATAAACTCTAACAAAATTGAGACAGACTAACTTGACAAACTCAGATGATAAAAGTATCAAGAATCAAGACATGAACTTTTATGATCAAAAGTTATGCAAGGACAGCTAGATTTCTCTCCAAACTGTCTTCTAAACTGTAACAATGACAAGGCTGATGAAAGCATCTAGCCCAAGGGTCTCAAACTCAAGACCCGTAGATCGGATCTGGCCTGCTATGTGATTGGATCCGGCCTGTGAGGCCATCCTGGTCTACCCGATGCTAAGAGGAAAGATTAGGCCAGCCTGGCTTCGACCCAGTCTCCCCAATGTGAAGAGGAAACATGCCAGTAGTTGGGGGAGTGGTATCAAATTGGCCAAACCACCCAGTTGGCCACACCCACCCAATTAGCCATGCCCGGCTGGACCCCCAAGATCAAACACAGCTTCTGATGCGGCCCTCAATGAAATTGAGTTTGACACCCCTGATCTAGCCCAATACTTTTAGGTTATAAAGCAACTGAATTTCATAAAAGTGTACATGTAGAGTATGTAAGAACTTCTCTATTCTACAGCTTATTATTTTGTTTGCTGCTTTCTGCTTATTTCTTTTTTTCTGGAATCAAGAAATAAGACGGTTTCATTAACTATCAGATTCATATTGTAGATACCTATCAGCATATATATGCTGGGAAACTGTTGATCAGCAATATGTACCTCAAGCTAGTTGTGCTGGCACTGATACAGAACAATGCTGGAATAATGATGTTCAAGATTTGATTCAATAAACCGGACTTCCGGTTTGTCGGCTTAGGTGACAGCAGGGATTCGCGTTTCTCCGCGATCCCTGCTGTGCTAGCCGCCTTGGTGCCTCCGATCCTGACGGATTTGGAGGCTAAGGCTGCCCTGTTGGGGCAGCTGAAGAAAGGGGGGATCCGGACAGGGGTTGAGGGGTATCGCAAACCCCCTCCCCAGCCGGCAATAACCCCCTTCTCTCAAGACGGTGGAGTGGCGGTCTTAATGGCAGCCATAAAGAAGCCGGCAACTGGATAAAGAATGTGCAGGAGGAAGAAGAAGGAGTTTTAAAATGAAAGTTTTTTCTTGGTCGAACTGGGACCTTAAGGACATATTCAACACCTGGGAAAGTATTGGCTTTTTTCTGGACGCTACAATGTTCCCGATTGATGTTTTCAGCGGCGAAGAAAAGTGATGAAAAGGGAAAGTTACTCTCCCTCCCTTATGGAATTAACAAATGGACAAGGGAAACCTGCCTTTTGATAGAAGGTAAAATCTAAACTCCTTTGTTATAAGTGGGAAGGGAGAGGCTTGGAAAAAAAAATTTTTACTCTAAGACTTTGTTGGAGGAGATGCCTTGAAGATAAAGAGAATAGAAATTAATTCTAAAAAAGATTTAAAGCACAGACTGGACGTTTTTTCTTTCCCTAATTTGACTTCACCCCTAGAAGAGAAATTGTAAAAAGAAGAAGTTTGTACCCTGCCTGGACTGTTTGATGATTGCAGGATTTGGGGACTTTTGGGAACTGTTTTAAGTTTGGAAATAATTGATTGGCTTAATAATAATAAGAGGATATAGAAAAAGAAAAAGAAACAGTTTAAAATGGCTCTATCTCTTGATGAACTAAAAAAACAATATTTAAAAATAAGGAAAGAAGGCAAAGATGTTATGGGAGAAGCCCTTTGTTTCCTAGATATGGCGCTTGTCATGTGTCAGCAAATTAAACAACAGCTGGAAGAAGCCGAGGAAGAAGAAGCCATTTTTAATGAACTAAATGGTGTGACTAAGAAAGAAAGGAGAAAGAGAGGAGCGAAAAGGAAGGACTTAAGAAATAAAAAAATATTTATGAAAGAGAAAAAGAAGATGCAAAAACAACAGAATGCTAGAAAGCAAAAGGAAAGAGGAATGCAACAGAAAGGGGAAACCAAGAAGGCAGAGAGGTTTGGAGAGGAGGGGGTAAAAAGTTTAGGTGGGCCAAGAAGGAAAGGGAAAAGGGGGAAAAAAGTTACAAAGGTATAAAACAAGATGGAGAAAAGAAATTTTTTTTTAGGGATAATGGGTAATGTATGGGGTTTTTTTTCTTAAAAAAAAACGGGATTCTGCAAAGTACACATGAGTATTGTAATAGTGGTATTTGTATTATAAGTAGATAATCAGAACTTTTTAAGATCTAATAAAAGACTAAAATATTAAGGTATAACTTTAAAATGTTTAATAATGAATGATTTTAAGTTTTAATAAAATACTAAAGGGAATGTTTAAAATATTAGTTTAAATATAGAGTTTAATAGATTAATGTGTTGACTGTTATGGATTTATTATTGTAGTATTGGTTTCTGAAATAGTAGAATGTACTAAGCAGAATCTGATTGGGATTTAGGTGTTATTTTAAATTTTAATTTAGGGGAATGATAGAAAGGCATCATACTCTGATTAGTGATTCCAGGGGAAACTATTCTTTTTTATATTGGAAATGAGACAGATGTAAATGGAGAAATGGACAAAAGATATAAAAATATTTTTCTCTAAAGCAAGATTAAATATATAAAACAGAATTAAGACGAGGCAAAAGTGGAGAGGAGTTATATAATAGATATAGAATGGTAAACAAGATAGGTAATGGTATATAAGAAGAGCATGAATTCAATTGAAGTCCATACAAAAAGAGGCAATCTGGGGCCAAGTTACTTTCTAAAAGAAAGTTTTATGTTTTTATGTTTATGTCTTATGTTTGTGTGTTCAATTAAAAATTAAATAATAAAATCTCGGAGGAAGACTAGATGAGAACAATTATAAACAAGCCAGAGGAAAATATAAATGTGATGATTGAATAGCAGATAAATTAGAAAGGAAATATGATTGAATAATGATTAAAGAGAAACAATGTGGAATTTGGTAAAGGGAATTTACGTGTTTATATGGAAATGGGATAAATTATAAGTATGTGATATAAAGCAATGTGTTACCTGCCTTGTAAAGATTTGCAATGGAAAGAGGTTTTATGTTTTTAATGTTTAATGATGTTTTGTTTTGTTTTTTGTTTGTTTGTAAAATCAATAAAACTTGTTTTTTTTTAAAAAAAGATTTGATTCAATAAACCTTGGCAATTATTGTAATGTAATGGGTAATGCCTTCTGTGATGATTATACCCAGCTGGGACAAAGATCCTAAGAAAGGAAGAAATCAAGGAGTTTTTTTCTTGAATTTGTGGTCTTAATACATTTGGAGAACAGGAGTTAAGGGAGGCTGTTGTATCAACTAAGTCACTGCTTGTGAAATTATTTGGAAAGTGCTATGCTCTCTCCATATGAGGGAGGTTGATAAAACAGCTGTAAAACTCTTAAAAATGCAATAAATAAATGTAAGAGTTATAAATCTAACAACCAGTTACAAAAATAGTTGTGAAAAACTATGAATGCCTGAATAAAATTGTTATCTTTATGTTCTTTACAGGATGAAATTGTTGCAAACTTTTGACTTTCAAGTTCTTTTACAGTGACAAATAAAACAAACCAATAAAAGGGGCAAAAGAAGACTTGGAGACTATGTTGCTAAGCAATGGCCGCCAGGCAGCACCTGGAGCCATATTAGGCTACCACCTGTATTGAATGATACCTTCATAATCCCTAATCAAGTTGTTCAGGCAAAGTCTATTATTGCCCAAAATTTGGACAAAGTTCAAAGGCTGCAAGTTGTAACAATCAAATCCAAAATCTCTACTGATATCCATTAAATCAAGTTTTACTGTATGTATTAGATATTCTTTTTTTTTTTCAAAAAAGAAGTATCCTACAAATTACAGAGCTTGAATTTAATAGATTATTAGAATAAAGGTAAATGTTTCCCTGTTCATTAGTGTCTGACTCTAGGGCACAGTGCTCATCTCTGTTTCTTGGTCTAGAGAGCCAGTATTGTTATTATAAATTCAAAAGAATTTTCCACCTGACTAAAAGTCAAAGAGCTTGGGAACCTATGTCATTAAGAAGAATAAAAATTGCAAAATTTCATTTGGACAATCTACTACTTATATTTGTGTTTTGATACCAAGCACTAATTTTACTGGATCTGGATTCTTAATTATTGTTTTCTAGCAGCAACAGCACATCAGTATGTTTAACATACCCAGACATCATTCTGCCCAAAAGAGTGACATAGAGGGCAGTGCAGGTTGAAGTAGAATTACTGTGTTTTTCAATCTTCTTCTCCTAAAGGAGTAGAAAACAAAAAATTAATCTTTCTACGACATTGAAAACTGTTATGAATACAAAGGTTCATATAGAATACAAGAAACATCACATTAACATACAACTGTCCTTTGAACATATTGCCTTCGGGATGAGTCACTTTGTTCAAAACCAATTTCATACATACATACATACATAAATATTTTAAGTATAATAAAATAAATTTCAAAAATACATTTTTTTAAATTTAATAATAAAAGTGCATTACAGATCAATTTCTATTATAATAAAACAAAGACATGTGTGGAATTCTGGATTTTTTAAAACTATGATTTTCAGACATCCACACTAATATAACCAGGATTGAGGATCCTTAGAACAAAATTTAGAGCAAAATTCAATATTTAGAGCATCACAATTAAAATAGTTGTTGCATAAATTTTCAGACTTACTACAGCATGAAAAAAATACAAGCATTTTATTGAAATATTACTTGATTTTGCTAAACATCTTTACTTATTCCCAATCATGTATTCTGCAGTTTAAAAACTAAAGTTCACAAGTATAATCTAGAGAAGACATAGGCCTGCTAATCATAAAAGCAAGCAATGGAATAAGGATAATTTCAATGGTAAATAACCTGCTATTATAAATAGGCTTTGTTGTCTTTCTTACATTTTAAACCTTGAGCTATCCATTTTTGGTGCAGAACATTTTGATTTTTTTTTCTTTAAAGTTATATAAGAGTAATTATTTCTCCTTTTAATTTGAAATATTTATAATTAAGTCTGGTAAGTTAGAATGATAAATTTGTATTTGTGAAGCAGCAATACCTGTTCTTTGGTCAGCTTCAGGCTTGCATTGTTGCATTCTTCATTAATCAGATATTTCATATAGCTGACAGTTAATGGTTCAAGATGAATGGTAGGCCACAGCCTTTCAATGAAAAAGCAGAAAATGATAATCATGTATGGAATTTAATGTGTGTAGAGTAGGTTCAAATGCAAGAACTATTTTAAAAATCCAGGACAGTGTTCAGTGTTCTGAATGTTATGTATGACAGACAGTAAAACAATCACTTAAAAACACAACTGTCTCAAAAATAAAATAGCGATCATTAATGGTTCTTCATCAAACTAAGGTGCCAGAAATCTTATACTCCAATATTTTTATTAAAAGACTTAAATTGGAAACAATTCATCAACTCTATGTGAACAATAGCGGACTCAAGACACAGCCCTGTGGGGTGCCTGTACTCAAGAAGATGGAGTTGCAGACTTTTCTTCCAACTTGCACAAACTGGGCTCTATCAATAAGGAAATCCAGTATCCAATTTCAAAAAGGAATATTAAAACCTAATAGGCCCAATTTGTTCACCAGATGCTGAGGCATGATTGTGTTGAATGCAAACTAAACTCAATAAACAGCATTCGCACATGAGTATTCTTCTCTTCCAGGTGCTAAGGTAAGATGAAGAACACAAGAAAGTGCATCATCTATAGCAGTGATGGTGAACCTTCTTGTTGTGGCATGCCGAAAGCGCATGCACCATCACCCACAATGCAATGTGCCTCCAGCGCATACGCGCACAACACTCCTGCCTCCCCTTACCTGCACTGCGCATTCACATGCCTCACAGCTGATTTTTGGCCCATTTGAGGCTGTTTTTGTCCTCCCAGAGGCTCGAGGGAAGTCTCTGCAGCCTCCAGAGGCTGAAAATGGGCCCCTTTCAGCACTTCCAGTATTTCCAGAAGGCCTGTTTTTTGAAAATCAGCTGGGAGGTGTGCGCATGCGCAATGCAGGTAAGTTTGGATGGAGCTCATATGCCCGCAGAAATGGCTCTGCATGCCACCTGTGGCAGGTGTGCCATAGATTCACTCTCATGGAATAGAATGGTTCTTCCGATAGGCAAACTATAATGAGTTGAATATAGGGGGAAAACATGAAATTATATAGTCCTTTGCCAATCTCCTGAAACACTTCATCATAATGGAAGTGAGTGCAACTGGATGGTAATCATTAAGGCATGCAATTATAGTTTTTTTTTGTACACTGGTACAATGATTGCAGTCTTAAAACAAGATGGAACCATAGCCTAATGAAAAGGTCTTCAAACTTGGCAAGTTTAAGACTTCTGGACTTCAACTCCCAGAATTCCTGAACTAACAGGACTGGAGGAAGAATTCTGGGAGTTGAAGTACACAAGTCTTAAAGCTGTCAATTTGAAGACCCCTGCCTAATGCAACAAGACATTGAAGATGTCTGTGAGAACAGTGGGCAGCCAGTCAGAACACTCCTTAAGTACTTGCCCAGGGATAATATCAGGACCTGCAGCTTTTCGAGTATTGACTTTCTGCAGTATCTTCTGAGTAGCAATTATATCACATTTGTAAATGCATCTCTCACTTGCATTGTGAAGTGGTATAATTCAGGAGCATGTATATTTTCTGAATGGCCATCACAGTCACTTTGTTACAAAAAGTATGTTGCTTTCTTCATAGATATGCCTATTTGTCTTCATGATTCATAGTAAAAACATTCTGCCATGTGGACTGTACAGATGGAGCTGACTCTTATAAGGCACTTAACTTTCTGCTGTCTGCAACTGAGATAAAAACTACCATGTCTGATTTTTCCCAGCTGAATAGCGTAGTTTATTGTATAACAAAACAAGTTTACCTCCAAGCTTGTGGACAACTTTCAACATTCACAGATACCACAACTCTTACATTCACTGGCAGTGGATCAATCAGCCACTTCATATGCTTTTCAGCTTGCTGAGAGACATAAGGTTAATTTAAAATTCAGAATGCTGTAACAGGTTAAAAATACGTGTATTTCTTTCAACTGCCTACATAAAATAGAACTGCACCAGTGGTTGGTTTCAAAGTTTTTTACTACTGGTTCTGTGGGCGTGGCTTGCTTGGTGGGCGTGGCTTGATGATCATGTGACTGGGTGGCTGTGGCTTGGTGGCCATGTGACTGGGTGGGCATGGCCAACTCAATGTCACTCACTTCAAGGGGTGCCTTGCATGGTCCCGCTGCTCCCAGTCATTCCTTGTCACACCCATCCTCAACGTATCTATAGTTCTTTAAAAATGTTGTTCACCTTTTTTTGACTTTATTATCTACATACTATAGATGTACTTTCATGGACCACTGAAAGAAAGAAATGGCTCACATGCTTTGCCCAAGAGTGTGGTAGGCAACAGGCTTTTAAAGGGCTGCCAGAAAGAAGGGGGACAATGTATTTTACAAAGTACAGAAGGCAAACAAGAAGCAATGGATGGAAACTGAACAAAGAGAGAAGCAATCTAAAACTAAGGAGAAACTTCCTGTCAGTAAGAACAATTAACCAGTGGAAATGCTTGTCTCTGGAGTTCTGGGTGCTCCATCATTGGAAGTTTTTAAGAAAAAATTGGACAGCTATTTCTCTGAAATGGTATGGGTTCCCTCCAAGGTCCCTTCTAAATGTTATTCTGCTATTCTGACACCTTTCCCAGGACCTCAGAGTTTGGCATCCTCAGTTTTCCTGCCTGAACAGGGGATTGGACTAAAAGACCTCACACACACACACACATCTGGTCTGGGACGAACTGATCCGGCAAGCTCCAGAGGAGTGGGCTGCCTCCCAGAGCACTGCCACTGCCTGCTTCTCCCAGGTAATGAATGATGATGGTGATGGCTGTGACCAGACCCCTTTTTTACTTTCGCCTCTGGGAGAAGGAAGAAAGTGGGCGGTGATGGTGGTGGCGGAAGCATCCTGTGGCCGCTCCTTTCTTCCTTTCGTCCCTCGAGCCTGGGAATGAGGGGAGCAGCTAGCTGGGATGGGGCCACACCAGTAACGAAGCCAGCCAAGAGAGCCCAGGGATGGGGGGGGCTTGGCAAGCTCGGAGGATGTTGGGAGGGGGGGAGGCAAGCTCCGGAATGGTGGGGGAGGGGGGAGGCAAGCTCTGGGGATGGTGGTGGTGGGGCTAGTGTGACTCGCAGGAAGATCAGGGCTGCTCAGTTGGGGCAAAGGCACCATGTCGGAAGGCAAGTTAAAAATGCAAATTAGGAGGACCCAGTGTGGAGTGAGGAGTGACTGGGAGGAGCGAGCAAGCATTAGGCGGGGTAAGTGTTGGGCAGGCAGGGCAAGCGAACGAGCTGCGATCGGGTCAGGGGCATGGCCAGCCAGAAGTCACTACTGGTTCGGCGATCCATGCATCATTGCCAATGGGCACACAACCTCTGGTGATCACAGAAAAAGAAGTGCAAGATCTATTACACAGGCAGAAGCCAGGAAAAGCACCAGGGCCAGACAAGATAACTCCTTCTTGCTTAAAAGTCTGTGCTGACTAACTGGCCCCCATCTTCAACTGAATCTTCAATAGATCACTAGGGATGTGCTATGTTCCTTCCTGCTTCAAACGTTCTACCATCACCCCAGTGCCAAAGAAGCCCTCCATCAAGGAACTGAACAACTACAGACCAGTTGCTCTAACATCTGTAGTTATGAAAATCTTTGAAAGGCTTGTGCTGTCCCACCTGAAAACCATCATAGATCCTCTGTTAGAACCCATGCAGTTTGCATACCGAGCAAATAGATTGATGATGCAAATAGATGATGCGGTTAATATGGCTCTGCATTACATCCTACAACACCTTGAATCTCCAAATACCAATGCAAGGGTCCTCTTTGTAGACTTCAGTTCAGCATTCAATAGCATCATTCCAGACATTCTTCTAAGTAAATTAAACCAACTAGTGGTACTTGAACACACTTTTAAGTGGATCATAAGCTTCCTAACAGACAGGAAGCAGCAGGTGAAGCTAGGTGGAATCACATCTGATACCTGTACAATCAGCACAGGGCCCCCCCAAGGCTGTATGCTATCTCCACTTCTCTTCTCCCTATATACCAATGACTACATCTCAAACAATCCATCTGTTAAAATACTGAAGTTTGCTGATGACACAACAGTGATTGGTCTCATTCGAGACAACGATGAATCTGCATACAGACAGGAGGTTATATAACTTGCCTCGTGGTGTAACCAGAACAATCTGGAACCGAACACACTCAAAACTGTATAAATGGTGGTAGACTTTAGAAGAAACCCTCCCATACTACCACCGCTTACAATACTAGACAACACAGTATCAACTGTAGAGACCTTCACATTTCTAGTTTCTACTATATCACATGATGTAAAATGGACACCTAACATAAAAAAACGTCATCAAAAAAGCACAACAAAGAATGTTCTTTCTGCGCCAACTTAGAAAGCTCAAACTGCCCAAGGAGCTGCTGATACAGTACTATAGAGGAATTATTGAGTCTATCATCTGCACCTCTATAACTGTCTGGTTTGATTCTGCAACCCAACAGGACAGACACAGATTTCAGAGGATAATTAGGAGTGCAGAAAAAACAATTACTACCCACCTGCCTTCAACTGAGGACCTGTATACTGCACGAGTCAAAAAGAGGGCTGTTAAAATATTTACAGACCCCTCACGTCCCGGACATAAACTGTTTCAACTCCTTTCCTCAAGATGACGCTATAGAGCACTGCACACCAGAACAACTAGACACAAGAATAGTTTTTTCCCAAAAGCCATCACTCTGCTAAACAAATAATTCCCTCAACACTGTTCAACTATTTACAAAGTGTGCACTACTATTACTGTTCATCTTCTCATCACTCCTTATCACCCATTCCCTCCCACTTGTGATAGTAGGACTGTAACTTTGTTGCTTGTATCCTTATGATTTATATTGACTGTTTCCTAGTATGATTTGATTGTTGATTGTACCCTATGACTATCATTATGATTCTTGATTCTTAACGAATGTACCTTTTCTTTATGTATACTGAGAGTATTTACACCAAGACAAATTCCTTGTGTGTCCAATCACACTTGACCAATAAAGTGTTCTGTTCTATTCTATTCTATTCTATTCTATTCTATTCTATTCTATTCTATTCTATTCTATTCTATTCTATGGTTCTCCCAAACCGGTGTGAACCGACTGAATACTACTACTGAACTGCACACATACATAGCATAAAACTAGGTGTCTGATGTTACAGTATAGTTACTGTCTCCAGAAAAAAGGACCTTTTCCTGGCCTCTCTATAATGAGATTTTGTTTTAGCTTAAGATGTTTTAGGCAATGTTTTGATTGTTAAACATGCTTTATATTATAATTTAAGATTATATGTTTATTATATTGCTTGGACTGTTTGATTGAATATATAAAATAACCATAGATTAGCAGCATATGTGAATCCAGTCATCAGGAACAAGGAACAATATTCTGTCCCAGTTCTATTCAAGTATCTTATTTTCACGTGTGTGCAGTTTTAAATGTGAATGTATTTTCTCTATGTTTCTGGTCCATTGTGCAAAAAAAAAAGTATGTATCTTGTTAAGTAGTAAAAAATGATTTAAGCAATTCTAAAACCATCTTTCAGTAAAAGTGGAAGTCAAAAAATACTATACCTGTATTCGATCAATTGAATCAATAATGATTATAATGCTGCCTTGCTGGCGAGAAGAAAGTTTCTCTAACCAACGAGGAAATTCTTCTAATAATTTAGCTGGCTCCAATGAAGTAGGTGAAACTGACCAGGAATTTTGCATAAGCTATGAAAAGAATAAACAGAAACAAAAATCTAAATAATATTTTATCTAAAAATGAAACAAAGAAACAGATCTTTTTTTACTTCATATGATTGAAATTTTTATATGTAAAAAAATATTAGAAAACAATTTATGGTTACTTTACCCTGTCATCTTTCTGTCCAAAGCCTGGAATAGGAAATTAATAATACATTAACAATCTCTAACTCCAGATTTAGCTTATATGCTACCCCAAAGTTTAAGTAGGCCAAGAACAAAACTAAACTGGAATTAAATGTTCCGTAATTTAGCTAGCATACTAATTCTAACCATAAAAATGTTATATATTTTCCTTTTCCTCAGCCTAATGACAGACCCAATGTCACTTTGTCACAGCATAGGTACAATATACTATTCTGAAAATATAACATAGAATAATAGTACTGAGATATTATTAAGACCTTATTAAAAAAACAATGTCAAATATAATAAATTATATTCCGCGGACCAGAAGCCCTGGGAAAATCCCCCCAAAAATCTGCAGGAAAATTCCACACCCCATTTTCCTACCGATCAATCATTCTTTATTTGGGATCGCAGGATACCATCTTCAGCTCTGTTCTCAAGGAGAGGGAGATGGGGAGGGAGAGGGAGAGGGAGAGAGACTGATTGACTTTTGGCTTCATGCAAGGAAAGCAGCAGAAGCCAAAGTCTGTCTTTCTCTCTCCTAAACGCCAGAAATGAGTCTTTGTGAGACTTGTCTTCCTAGCGCAGCCTCTTGGAGCAGGATGCCTTGCAGGGTCCCAAAGACTCATTTCTGGAAGAATTTGGGGGAGAGAAAGAAAGACTTTTGCTGCTTTCCTTGCATGCAGCCAAAAGCAGAAGAAAGAAAGAAGCAGAAAGAAGCAGCCCGGTGGCCAGGCAAGGCGCGTGGGGCAAGTTCCCCCCCTCTGCCCTTTACTCCCTCCCCTCACTACCTCGTGTTGTTCGCAATGCAAGCGACGCAAGCCTTGTGTTCCCGCGCAGCCTGGATTAATTGCTTTGGGGGTGCTTTGGAGGTGACATTTCTTTGCAGACCACCAAATTTTCTCGCAGACCACCAGTGGTCCCTGGCCCACTGGTTGGTGACCACTGCACTAGCAGAACAGCTGTCAATTGAGAAACCTAAATTATGCTTGCCTAAAGCCAGAAACTTAGGTAATATAGCCTTGCTTTATTCCTTAATCAGATAGCTAGAAAAGATAGCAGAATACATTTCTTATGCTCAATACTTTATAACAAAGGGAGATTTTTTTTTTTTGCTTTTGCAAATTTGATGCTAAGGACAAATAAAAGTAAATTTTAACCTTCAAATTATTATACTTCAACAACATATGGATTTGTAAATATCCAAAAAATTGAGTTTCTGAAGTCCCAGAATCTCTATTTTAATTTTACAAGGTGTTTAAATCAAAATATATTTGACACAGTTTCATTTACTATCCCTATAATCTCACTTGGCAATTTATACTGTGTTAACTAAATTCTCAATATTAATCTTACTTTAGAGTTTAATTTTGATTTTTAGACTATAAAATATTGAAATATATTCAGATTAATAATCAACTAGTTCTATACTGAAACATTTAATTTCTATGACATTTTTAAATCCCAAATTTGTTAATTTGTCTGAAATATTTTATCCCTTTTTCTAGTTTCTTTTTTATATTTATATTTTTTAAAAACATCAAATGGAAATATAAAAAAGAAATTTAAGCATAATATAGAGAAATAGAATTCACATTTTATTAAGTGAAAAAAAAAATTCTAGTTCCCATATGCTGATACACAGTAAAATAGACCTACTTTTAAAGTGAGACGTTTGAGAATCAATGTAGGCTCCGAACTGCTCGACATTGGTTTCCCAACAAAATGATAGAGAATGAGTGTATTTGGAGAATGCTTCTGTTGTAACTGAATCCTAATAAGAAAAAAAATATTTATCAACTCAAATACTACAGTTTTACCAAAATATAGATGATTATGTTGTTACACTGGAGAGTTTTTTTATACGGCTATATTTAATTTTTTAAACACTGAACTATCAACTAGATAAAAAAAGTAGAAAAGAAAATCTCTTGACCCTTGCATCAAGGGACTGGCCCACTTAGTTTAGAGTCAACATACTACCGGTAACTGGCAGGAGATCTCCAGGAACTCATATTTTTTTCCAGCCTTGTCTTGAGATATTAGGAACTGAATATACTTTCTATATATAACACATTTTGCCAATGAACTGCCATTCTTTTCCAAAGATTTAAACTTCTGTGCTGCAGTTTCTTTGGCATTTAGAGTAGAAATCTAAATGGTGTCATCAATAAAAGTTTAAATTCTAGATAAATTAAGGTTAAAAAAAACAGTCCTTAGAAAGTAAATGGTGATATATATACATTTAAAATTTTAAATATCTTTATAAGTATACCTTATACAGATTACAGTGGGATATTAAAGAAATGCAACTAAATTAGTTTTGATGTTATTGCACAGGTGAACATTTTTTTCTTCCTTTCCCTGCTGAACAACATTCCCACCAAAGTAAAATGTCAGGAATGGTCACAAGGATAGCTGGTTGGAGGATCTTGAAAACCTAGATTGAGAAGAATCTGTGATAAAGTAATAAATGTGTAAAATACAGAACCTGGCTAACTCTTTGCAAAAGAACTCTGTGGAACAAATGGAGAGGGGAGGGCAGACCAAAACTTATAACAGAGCACATTGCATGTAACATAAATATTATAGGTGTAATGACAATACTAAGTCAACTGAGCTAGTGTGTTATATCTGTGTTATAAAGAGACTAGTAAAGTAGGGTTTAAAGGAAATCTGGGATGCACACAAATGCATATCTGAACATACATGTACAGCTTGGTATTTGTTGAGGGAGGAAAATACTTTTTTAAAATGAACATTTTCTAAAAATACAGATTTTTTTAAAATGTATGTATAATACCATTTTGATAAAAGGAGAGATTTTCCAGATCCTGGCTCTCCAGATACAAGGAGGGGTGGAATTGGTGCAGGGGCTGCCACCAAATCGTTTAGACTTTCATAATACTGCAAATGAAACAATACAATATAATAAATAATTGTTGAATTAGATCCAATCATTTACATTTACTTGATTTTAAAGCTGTGTTAATCCAAAGATTAGTCTTTTCCATATTAATTTATATGCATATAATACTAGCTCGATACCCGTGCTTTGCTATGAAACTATGGGGTTGTGCTTAGTTTTTGGGAGGAAAATAAGGGGGTGGGGAGAAATTCTGCCTCTGCCTAGCAGCATCCATAGGTATTCATCTGGCTAGCAACCTGTCAGTGTGTTTGGAAAGTATTTGTTGTGTGAGCAAAGAGACAGCAGGAAGCCTGGCGTGGTTTAGGTCAACTATTTGTACTAAAGTTGCTTGGTGCCTTAAACTAAAACTGAAACTCCTCTCCTCTGCTTGTGTTTTGCATTTGGAACAGATTTCTTTCCAGGTGGGGAGGGGGAATAGAACTCCTTAGCATCAGAGCATATTAATAATAATATACGAAATACTAATGCTCTGATGGTCATTTCGAAAAATCCTTTCTTAGTGAGCACCTAGAAGCCAATAGCAACGTACATGCCAAATTTCAAGTTTTTACATTTTACAGTTCTGGAGATTTTGTGATGATGCATGAGTGGTATTTCGCTTTTATATATATAGAAGATTGGCACTGGCTTAGTTTGCACATAAAGGTATATTCCAGACCTTGTTAATTAAAGAATTATGATTGGAGGGAGCTAAGAAGAAATTTCTCTGGTGTTTCCCCTGCCCTTTGAAACATTCTCCCCCTAACAGCCGAAGCTGCTTGGCTTTTCAAAAATATCTGCATTCTTCTCGGAGCATAAAGAAGAGCAAGCAGATGTGAGGCTTGTTAGAACCTCCCACCTTTTAATTAATTTTTAATGTTGAAATTTAACTATCTTTGTCTCTTCTTTACATTTTTACATTCATATTTTCTGTTTTTTATTGTCTTTTAATTACATTTTGGATACTACCCAGATTCCCTCTGTGAAGATATGGGCAATTTCTAAATGTGACAAATGAAATAAAAAAGCTAAAACATAATTTACTGACCATAACTATTACTGAACATAGTCCTGATTCATATTTGATCAATTACAATCCTCACTGGTTTTAACAGCATGAAACAGCATGAAAAACTGAACAATTTAGTGTGTGTGGGTTACCAAATCAATTACAGTATTTTGAGACAAGACTTTTATTTTACAATATCTTGGTCTTAATTCACTGAATTTTACAAAAAGAAGTTGCAATCCTCTTATTCTTTTTTGACACTTTAACCATCTTTTTTTCCCTGCCAGGTATAATATATTAGGGAAAAAATAGTTATGCAGAGCAAGAGTATACCCAGCCTACCTAATTCGAAGGTTACTTTTGTTTTTATAAAAATGTGAGGGTTCTGTAAAAATAGACCATTGGTATCCAATCAGGTAATATTTAGAACACGTTCATAGGTTATAGTAGGGGTTCACAAACTTGGCAACTTTAAGACTTTTGGACTTCAACTCCCAGAATTGAACTGCCAGAGTTGAAGTCCACAAGACTTAAAGTTGCCAAGGTTGGGATACCTCTGGATAATAGCTATAGGCTATGTGAGTTCTTGCTTTTGATGTAGTATTTTCACACAATACTGCAACAGTGTAATAGTTTGCTCTTTCTGCTCAGTGTCACAATTATGCAAGCACAGTGATGGCCTTCTGTAGGTGGTTCATAAGAATGGCTTTGCCCTGCAGACGTTTGAAGAATTCTGTATTTGATTTTTTTCATTTCTTAAGTATGATTTTGTCTTTGTCTGATTGCTTACAAAAATATTCTTGCCCTTGCTTAGATATATATGGCGTTTTTCTGTCTATCACATACAAAATAACAAAAGCTTAGTGTCCTTGAAATACAAAATTCATTTGTATTCATAATCCTGGATAAATTCTTTCTCTTCATCAGGTCATGATAAAAGTAAATTTATTGGAACTAAGTAGAAAATTTGTATCCGTTATCATAGATCAGAGTATCAAACTCAAGGTCTGGGGCTGGATCCAGCCCACAATGAGGTCAGGTCTGGTCCATGCAGCCATCCTGGAAACTGTAAGGAGACAGGGCCTGTTGCTTTACCCCAGCCCATGCCATCACAGGAGGTGGCAGGCACACATGCGCACAGACCCAGTTCGCCGCCACTGTATGCAGGGCAACAAAAATAGTCTGTGGGACTATGGTGAAAAGAATAGACTTTCCAACTTCATGAGATTTTTTTTTTTTCGTGAGAAGTTGGAAGATCTGAAATATTTTTTTTACCGTAGTTCCACAGCCTACTTTTATTGACTTGCATGTGGTGGCAGAAAACAGAGCTGGAAAGCAGGTTAGTGAAGGGATGTGGGTGCTCTGGGAGGGGGGTTGGCTGAAAGGTCCTCAAGTAAGCCAAGAAAGCCTCCAAAATTATTCTCAAATCTGTTTTTTTTTCCAATATTTTCATCAATGAAAAAGAAAAAAACCCACAAGCGTTTTATGCATTTTGTTCCAGGAGAGGATATGAAATTACTTTGTCAAATCCAAGCTCATATGTTGAATTAGATGCCTGCTGGAAAGCTTCTATTTGTTCTTGTTCAGCATGTGCATCCCATAGCACATCTCCAAACAGTTCATCTTCAGGAACTGAACAGTCACCACTACAGTCACCAGTCGCATCTTTCTTTTCTATATGTGAAACGTCACAGCCCAATATATCCTGTATGAGAATAGAAGCAAATGTTGTCAGAGTATATTCGTTAACTGACAAACACATGTTAACAAAGTCAGCAAGTGAGTAAGCATGGCAACAGACCAGCCAATGAGAGCTGACAGACTGGGTGTGGTTTGGCTCTGTGTGCTTTGCTGAGAATTGAAACTAAAAACTAACTTAGTTTTTGTTTCAATTCTTGCTGAAACTTGTATCTGCTCTGAGCTGCTGCTGCTTGTGTTTTTGCTTATGTTACGTTGAAAATATCTACAAATGGTATTTTAAACTTTACTCATTTTATTACGTTTACAAAGAAGTTAATGATCCTGCTCAATCAGTCATTTGTGTGTTTTCTGGACTTGAATTTATGCTGCAAACTCTAACAAATGTTATGAAAGCATCATGATTCTTCTTTAAAGACAGTTTCTAAAATTACAATATTTCAGGCTCTCGATTCTTCTCCAGCATGAAAAAAGGACTCTTCGCAATTTGTTCACATATAAAAACACTATGAAAATTCCTTGGAGGAAAAAAAGTAGACAATATTGTTTACTATATGGTACACTTGTTAAAAGAGGTATGATATTGCTCAGTGCGGAACTGTTGTACCATCCATACAATCAAGTAATTTTGTATCCTTAATGTATTCAATAGTAACAAAAGCCAAAATTTATAAAGGATTAACTTTGGTGTCATTTTACATATTCCTAGAACAGAAAATTCTGTATTTTAATACTATACTAACTATGCTATCCCAGAAACTAAGTATTAGGTTGTAAACATTTTAAAATCTTCAGAAAAACCTGTATACTGGGGCTTCCGGTTTGAGTTTCTTCGGTGACAGACCGAAACCACGTCTCTGCGCGGTTTCGACATGTGCTCGTTGCTGGAGCGCCCCGAGCCGGCTGGTTTCGGGGCTAAGCCACCCCATTGAGGTGGTGAAGAAGGGGGAGACTGCCTGCAGGGTTGAGCAGAGCCACATCTCTCCTCCCCAGCTGGCCATTACTCCCTTTCTCAAAGGCGGTTGTAGCGGTGGTCAGAAATGGCCACCACAAAGAAGAACTCGACCAGAAAAGAATGTGCAGGAGAAAGATAAGAAGAGAAAGTTTTGGTTGACCAGGTCAAACAGCAAAAGCAACAAATAAGGTACCCTGGAATTGAAACTATTAAAAAAAACCAATAACATTGTTCCCTAAGAAGATTTCTAAGCTGCGAAGGAGAGAGAAAAGGGAAAAGATTTGGGTTTTTTTTTCTGCTCTTCCTATACTGACAGCTAAGACACTTAAGCAAGAAATTGGAAAAAAATCCACTTTGACATTAATAGGCATTTAATGCTGAAAATAAAAAGTCAAAGGGATAATAAAGATTTCTGGATAATTAAAAGCTTTTGAAAACAGGAAAGGAGAGAAAAAGAATAAAAGGGCAGGATCTGGAAGAGAGGAGACTGCCTGGAATTAAAAAGAACTTACAGCAAAATCTCCACAAGACTTCCAAAAGATATATCTTAACTGAAACATCGTAACAAAATAGTAAAACCCTAGGAAGAAAAAATGGAAAAAGAAATAAGAAACAGCTTGGGATTATTTGGATTATCTGCTGATCTCTGGATTCTTGGTTATTGCATTTGAATGACTAAAATCAATCAGGTGGTTGTTTAAAACTGTTTAAAATGGCTCCACTTTTAGAAGAACTGAAAATGGAACTTAAAAAGTACAAAGAAGATGCACAAGAAGGGAGAGGTTCTTTTGGCTTCGTATTTCAGTTCTTAGAAATGGACATTTGGAACTATGAGAAACAACAAGAAATGCCTGCAGAAGAAGATTGTGACAAAGAAGAAGCCATCTTTAGTGAACAAGTAATCTTAGGTGGGGGGAAACAAGGAAACGGGGGAAGGAGAATGGAAAGTTTAAGATTGGGAAAAACAACCCAAAAAAAGAATAGAGTGAAAAATAAGTATAAAATCAGAAAGCAACAGAAGAGGGAAATGCAGAAAAGAGAATCAGAAGTAGAGAGACAAGGGGGAAAAGGGGGAGGAAGAAGATGAGAGGAAAGAAAGAAAGGAAAAGAAGTTATAAAGGACAGAAACAAAATATAGAGAAACAGGGCCTATTTAGAGATAATGGGTGAAAATTTAATGGAAAAAATGATTCTGCAAAGGTACATAAGATAGTATTGTTATATTAGAAATAGAAATAATTTCAGAAAATATGAAACAATGTATGATTAAAATTTTTGATAAAATAGTTATCGTAACTCAGTGGAATGCTTTCAATAAATGTAACAAAATGAATATTTAATGATTTACAAAACATATGTGAAGAGAAATAAGGGAAAAATTAATTATGGAGATTATATGTGTCTTTTAAGGAAGTATGATATTTAATTGAAAAGAAATGTTAAAGATGCTAAGATTTTAATGATTATTAATGATAGAGCTGAATTGGAATGGAATGAGGGTTTATAATTACATATATTTATAATCCTTTTTTTAAAAAGAATATAGTGTATATTATAAAAATGTACCAAGCAGAATTCGATTGGAAGTTATGTATTATGTATTATATTGAAGGTCATAACCTTAAGGTATATATTGAAGTTTAAATAAGAGTTGAATGGATATAATTAAAAGATATAAAGGTGTCATCCTCCAATTAGTAACTACAGGAGAAAATTTGTTTAATGAGAAAAGATAATATGAAATTGAAACAGAACAGACAAAACTATAAATATAATGATTTGAATTGAGATGAGATAATCAAAATAAAATTGAGAAAATTAAAAGAGGGGAAAAGCCATATAGAACAGTGGTCCCCAACCTTTTTTGTGCCACGGCCCGGTACCGGCATCACAAAATCATCCACGGCCCGGTACCAGCATCAGCACGCATGGCAAGGCGAGCCAAGCAACCAGCCAGCCAGCCATCCCCCGCTTCTCCCCGCCACCTTCAACTCCTCCTTTGTATCTGTGTCGATGGGCTTCGGGACGGTCGCTCAGCTTGCCTTGCCATGCATGCTGAAAGAATCCTCGCGCCTTAGTTTTGTTCGAAGCTGCCCCCCCCCCTCGATGAAACTAAGGCATGAGGATTCTTTCAGCACCCAAACGCCGCTTTCTACCCGGAAAAGCTCACCGGAAGCACTTTTTCATCAAAACAAGATGGCGGTGCCCAGCAAACCGGCAGCCCGGTAGAAATTGTTCCACGGACCGGTACCGGTCCGCGGACCGGTGGTTGGGGACCCCTGATATAGAAAATGTAGAATAGTATAAGATATGGAATAGAACACAAAAATGAGCATGAAATTGAGTTTGTGTTTGTATAAAGAAGTTCAACCTGGGACCATGCTATTTTCAAAAAAGTTGTTTACTTGTATTTTGTATGTGTGAAAACCCAAATAAAACTTTATTTTTTTAAAAAAAAGAAAAACCTGCATACTAAATGACTTGTAGATAAACTAGGTACTTTCAGAATATTGACAGATGTTCATGTTTTTGAAATGTAAGTATTAAAATAATTTAGTCAAACATCAGATAGCATAAACTAGCCAATAAACATTTAGCATAAGCTCCTTTTATGATAATTATACTGATATGGCTGGCGTATGAGTCTGCAAATGCTATTCATTTTAATACTATTTAATACTATTTTAATACTATTCATGCTTTATATGAATATTTAAAGTATTTTAGATGTAAAGTTCAAAGGCATAATTAAATGTTCTGACTTATGAAAACAGAATCAAGAAATCTGAGTGCGTGTGCTACAATTAAAAAAGAATTAGAACATTTATATGCTGCTTTTCCAAGATCCATATAATCTTCAGGGCAAGAGACAATGGAAAATACCTGCTTTATAATCTTTTCCACATAACTATATACTTCATATGCTCCTTCCTCTAATCCTCCCATGTGATTGATGATCTTAGGAGAAAAGAAATAAATCATTATGAAAAGATTAGGTCACCTCATAGCTGACAAGCTTTAATAACGGAAAGATTTATAAGGCTAGTTTTATATTCAACAAAATTTACATATTTTTGATGAAAGCCAGCTTCCCACAATTCTTAATACAAAATACCTAGATTCCATATAAAAAGCCTGAGTGAAACCTGTTTTTTAGACGTAAAATCAAAAAAATTATAGAGATGCACAGAAAATAAGTTTATATTTTTATACTCTATATCAGGGGTCGCCAATCTTTTGGACATCAGGGACCACCAATCACATAATTTTAGATCCCAGAGACCACTAACTGGTTCTGTGGACATGGCCTAATTTGTGGGTGTGGCTTGGTGGTCATGTGACTCACACAAAATTTGCTTGCAAGGAAACTCATAAAATTTGCAAGCAAATTCACAAAATTAACTCACAACACACCATGCATGTAAATATTGAATTTTTTATAAAAAAGAGCAACTTTTACCCCAAATCAGGCAAAGCAGGCAGGTAGGTTGCTCACAGAATCACAGATTCATTCAGAAATCTATCTATCTGCCATTGGCTAGCTCAGTCTGTCACATAAAATTTGCTTGCAAGCAAACTCATAAAATTTGCTAGCAAGCATACTCACAAAATGAACTCACAACAAAACATGCATGTAAATATTGAATTTTTTATTTAAAAAAGCAACTTTTATCCAAAATCAGGCAAAGCAGGCAGATTGAGTTGCTCACAGAATCATTCAGTGATCTATATCTAGCTGCCATCGGCTAGCTCAGTCTCTCAAATTTGCTTGTCGTGAATCTGCACTGAATTTGCTTGCAAGTAAACCTTCAGTCCTAAGGGAGGTTCGGGTGTGCTTAGCTAGAAAACAAGAAATCCAACCATTTCCTGCTTCCTAGCTAATCTAAGTCTCCTGGCACAGCAGAATAGATGATGGTCAGAAAAAGGAAAAATAGCAACTTAGCAGACAAGTTTGCCAGGTAAGGAGTGACTGGGCGGGGAGGGTTCCTGTGGGCCATGTGGGAAGTGCAGCCTTGTGTCTCTGCACAGCCTGGATTAATTGCTTTGGGGGGGTGCTCTGGGGGTGAGTTTTCTCTGTAGCCCACCAAAATTTTACCACGGCCCACCAGTGGGCCACGGTGTATCAGTTGGCGACTGCTGCTCTATATCAATGTACTTTTTTAAAAGAATAAATCTGAACACATTTTGATTAGTACATACCTTATTAGATAATTGTACCATATTTCCCCTAATAAATGTCCTCTAACATAAGAGTTTGATACTGTATAATGATGGATATTCAGTTATGAACTATAACTTTAGCTTTCTAGAGTCAGCATTTTACATTCAGTATGAATAAAAAAAGATAATCTGGATTAAAATTTATATTAAATTATAGCTTGAAATATTTTTTTAATAAAATAAGTGCCGCATATGTAGTCAAAAACCACACTCATTTTATCAGAGATAGGGAAATTAACTGCTTTGATTAGAGATTATGGAGTAGACAGCTTTATAAAAGCCTGGAAAATACATACATACATAGGTTTTTCTGCTTTTTCTTTTCTGTGCCCAGCCAGATTGGATTCTATCTGTTAAATGTTAAATTTATTTAGTATTTTGATCACATTTTTCTCTTTTGTACACCATTTTTTTCTTCTGTGTTGTTGTTAGTGCTGAATGTATGCTTTTGTTTTGTATTTTACTTTTTATGATACAATAAACAAATAAATGTACTCTGCAAATCCTGTTAATACCATGTTACAACTATATTAAACAAAAAGATACTAATCACAGTAAATAATCCACTTTTGTAAATGTTTTGCCTTATTACCTTTGCTTTATTCACAAAATGAACTTGCTCAATTAATTGCTGCACAGAATCTGAACTGACTTGACCATTTTCTAGTCGGTGGTAAATGAGCCGAGGCTTCCCTTCAGAGTTTTTCAAAAAGGCTTCTTCACACTCATCCAGTAGATGCCTAGATTAGAAATCAGCATTCTTGTTCTATATTAATCAGTGTTAGCCCCAATATTGTATTTTTCTAAAAACTCAAAATGGTCAAACTTTATGAATACAAATGTCATGCATTTTTAAAAACCAAGAGCAAAAATTTATCTGCTCTTCAAATAACTACCATAAATATTAATTTAACAAAGAATGAAGCTAAAAGGGTAGCCGGATCATTTAAAGTTCAACAGCAATTTATAACTTCACAGAATCCCCCATTCTTACCTTAAAGTGGATAAAGGTGAATTCCCCCCACAAATATATATAATCTCACATCTTTATTAGGAATTAGAGCATCAGATCATCAATAATGAATATAATAAAACTATGAAGTATATAATGATGCCATACAACAAGTGAGAACAGTTTGCTCAGTATTGCCCATCAAGGCAGTGGTCTTCAGGATTTTAGAAGTCTTTGCCCAATCCTATTGAAGATGTCACGGACTGTATACAGAACCTTCACCTTTATTTATTTTTATTTATTTATTTGATTTGTCAATCACTTACAAGATAATAGGTATAAGTATAAACATAATTATGAATGCATGAAATAGATACATATAAGAAAAATAAAAAGAAACAATAGGACAGGGACAGTAGGCATGTTGGTGCGCTTATGCAGACCTCTTAGGAAAGGGGTGAGGTCAATAGTAGACAGTTTAAGGTTAAACTTTTTGGGGTTTAGGGAAGAAACCACTGTTAGGTAGAGTATTCCAGGCATTGACCACTCTGTTGCTGAAGTCATATTTCCTGCAATCAAGTTTGGTTTACCTTGATTTTGTATCTATTGTGTGCTCTTGTATTGTTATGGTTGAAGCTGAAGTATTCATTGACAGGTATGGTTTTATATACCATACTTAGATTGGACCGAAGGCGGTGTAGTTCTAGGTTTTCTAGGTCTAGAATTTCAAGTCTGGTGGCATAAGGTATTCTGCGACGAGTAGAGGAGTGGAGAACTCTTCTTGTGAAATATTTCTGGACTTTCTCAACTGTGTTAATATCAGATACATAATGTGGGTTCCAGACTGATGAGCTGTATTCAAGTATTGGTCTAGCAAATGTTTTGTATGCTCTAGTTCGTAGTGCGATATTACCAGAGAAAAAGCTACGTAGGATTAGGTTAACAACTCTTAACCTTCACCTTTATTTTTAAGTTATCCATACAAGATCTACTTGTGCCTTAGATCTATCTTTCACTGCCTGATTTATATTATGCCAAATACAATGAACATATCCACACAGAACATGGTTAAAAAGCTGTTTTCATGGAAAACTATGGTGGGAAGTTTCTGAGCAGGACAGTATCGCATGGCACTGCACCATTCCTAATTTCTCCAAATCAACAGGAAAGTAACAAAAAAAAAATCATGCAAAAAAGAAAATAAATTTCTAGGAAACCCCTTCTGCATTTCCAAAACATATTTTGCACATTTGCTTCTTTGTAATAATAATACAAAGTTGCTATTAGGTTGCCAAGCCATAATTTCTCTTTGAATTTAACCGCTTGTTAGCAGTGATTTTGACAAGACAGCATGTGACACTTCTACAACCAGTTTTCTTCTTGTTGCAGTGGCTGGAGTAGAAAAGAGGAAGAGATGCAATATAAATAATGCCTACAGATAAATACCTTAACAAGATGCTGAAGACTGACTGTGAGGTGGAGAATAAAAATAGAATGTCTGTAATGGAACATCAAAAGTCTCTCACTTCTCTTATAAGAGACAGAAACAAAACCCAAATTCTTGCTCCAATCTACAAGGCTATATACTATATTCAAGCAGGTATCTGGCATTTTGAAGTCAACTGGTTCTATACCAAAAAGAACAGAGAACCAGGGAACCCAGTACCCATACAAGTATAGTTGCATCTGCAAAGGGACAAAAAAGCCCAGACCAATTCTGGCCATGTTTTAATGCAGAATTAACAAGATGGCAAGCAGTTTTTTGGTTCTATGCCAAATATTTCTAAATGAAGTGATTTAGTCATTAAGCTACATTTCTTCTTTAGAATGTATGAATAACAGAATAACAGAGTTGGAAGGGACCTTGCAGATCTTCTATAGTCCAACCCTCTGCTCAAGCAGCAAGTCTTATACCATTTTAAACAAATGGTTGCCCAAGTTCTGAGTAGAGTGCTTAATAGAGTGCTGAGAAAACTAAAATTCAGGAACCAGGAGAGGAAGACACAAAAGTTCCTGTCAGGCAGCTGCAGAACTGCATCATTGCAAAAAAAAAAAGGTGGGGGGGAGGGAGGCTGCATTTGGGTGTTTTGTTTTTGCAGTTTTAGATAAGCTAAACATTTATCAGCTCAGTTGCCAAATACAGATGAAATGGAATACAGATTCCCTGTGTGAAAATGGTCACTATGGAAGAAACTTATTTTGACAGGTTTTTTTGCCTGCTGTTTTGAGTGCACAGCTAAGACTGAACCTGTCCAATGCTCACTTTAGGAAATAGAGAACATGTTCCAAGCAAATCTGTCCTGAAGTCAACTAAATCTTCATTTCTGATATGAACAACTTTGCTTGAATGGGGGGAAGCATCTCTTCTGTATTATTCATTACATTTTGTTTTCATTCAGTAATCGTTACTCTTTTAAGATAAATTTATTTTAAAATCACTTATTCTAAACTACATTTGGTATCCTTTCTACGTATAAAATCAAGCAGATAAATTATTTGATTAGAATATACAAAACATATGGCTGTTTTTAACATATTGAAAGTATTAAAATTTATAAAATAAAAAGTTGCATGTTTTCATTACTATACCTCCTGATTTCTGCAAAGCAGATGATGATTTTTATCAGAAAATGTAAATAATTTATTAAGTATATTTAAAACTGTTCCATATATATATTGAACTGTGATTCACTGATGTTCTCTTTTACCTGGATTCCTTTCTTTAAATTATTCCTCTACTTTTCTTCCAAAAAGCCATTCAAAATTATTCTGTTTAATGTTTTTATTATGGATATTAACTCACCTTGGCAGATTTAAATGTAAAAACAAAATTATTAGAGAACTTTTCTCAATTTCCCATTTCCTTACAGCATGTAGACAACTCTCATTTTCTATTGGAAAATAGACAACTTGAAAAAAATACTCCATTGTCTCACAATATTTCTGAAGTTTTGGAGAGTATTTCTGAAATTTAAGAAAAAATAAAACACAAACTGCTTCCCATATAAAGCTAAGCTATAAACTATAAAGTACATTTACATAGTTTACAACTGGATTTGCACATCCAAAGCTAAACCAAAACTAAATAAATTACATATATTTATATAACAATCTGGGGTTAATATAAACTATAGCTAAGAATTATACATACTGGTACTTTTGACCACAAATTATTTCCCAAAATAGTAATATCATTGGGTGATTAAATCTAATAATTTCTCTGGATCTAGGAAAATCCCTAATTTTTTAGTCTGTTTACACTGAAATCTTGTAATTTAGTAGCAGCAGTTGATAATGATTTGTACATATCAAAAACATCCCCAAATAATTCCTTTTCCATAGCAAATCCTTCAAATTGGTTCATAGAAGAAAATTAAAACCTCCCTCAATTCAAAAGCATTACAAAATAAAACATACCAATTATAACCAGAGAAATAAACATTAGTACCAAAACCACAATAGAAACAACAAATTTCAGACCAAATACTAAGAATAAAGAGCCACATTTTCATTACTACATAAAGACACACCATAATAGACGCAAGCAGATCTTTTTAGAAGAAAAATCCAATATCTTTTGAGCAATCAAAAGACTTTTATTCACCCAATGTAATAAGTTAATCAGGACCAGAGAAGGATCACCAATTTTGATTATTATACTCAGTTGCATTCATATTAAAGGCAGCAGTTCAATCCAGAAGAGTGTGATATCTCCTGTGGATGATGGCTCATCCATGCTTCCTCAAAGGCCTCGAGGGAGAATGAGAGCATTCCTGGCATGTCTGGTTTTGCTGACACTGAGCTGCTGACGGAACATGCCTGGGCTGGGGAGAGCTCGCAGGCCAATGAGGTAAAAATGAGTAAAAGGGGGAGGAGATGCTCACCTTGGTGGATGCTAGAGTGTATGGGCAGAGAGGCGGAGATGGGGATGGGAAATGGGAAAAAGGCCCCGCCCCTCTTAATGGGCTGCACCTGGAGAGGATGTTTAGCATGGCAGGCAGAGGGAGGCATTGCTGGAAGCAATGTGTGTGGGTCGTGTCCAGATGGTTGTTTATTTACTGGAACTCTGCAGCTTGTGGATTTAATTCAGTTGAGGAGAGTGTTTGTGTTTGTAGCAGCATCTGTCGGACTAATTGGCTATTGCCTAGAACAGCAGTCTTCAAAATTAACAGCTTTAAGAGTTGTGGACTTCAACTCCCAGAATTCCTCCTCCAGTCATGTTAGCTCAGGAATTCTGGGAGTTGAAGTCCAGAAGTCTTAAACTTGCCAAGTGTGAAGACCCTTGGTCTGGAGCTTATTTGTGGATGGCTTCGCTGAAAATGACACCCTGAACTCCTGGCTTCGACAATTCCTATGACTTTTCCTTGCAAGTCCTGAAACTGGACTACCAGACTTGTTGACAAACCCCAGTGGAGGCCTCAGACCTCAGAGAAGATTTGGACTGTTTATTTTTGGAAACTACCCAGGTAAAACCTTTATTTCCAAGGCTGTTTTAGGTTTGGCTGTAAATTTTTTTGCTTTTGATTATCTACTTCAGTGGTAGTCAACCTGGTCCCTACCGTCCACTAGTGGGTGTTCCAGCTTTCATGGTAGGCGGTATGGGTTTTGTCCCCTACTTTATAAATCACCATTACTGTGGAACTGGTGGGCAGTTAGAGAAAATTTTACTACTAACAGAGATACAAAAGTGGGCGGTAGGTATAAAAAGGTTGATTACCCCTGATCTACTTGTTACTGTGCTCAGCTTGCAGCTGGGGGTTAACTGAAAACCTGAAATTGTTGGGAAAACAGACTGAATAAAATTCTCTACACCAACCCTGATGTGTGGGTGATGGGGGCAGCACAAAGAGCTAGAACTTCTTATTACTGAAAAACATTAAAAAAATATAGTCATATCAATATGAGACTTGAATTTTAAATAATAAATACTGTAAATCAATGTTTCCCAAACTAAAATAAATTACTCAAAATTAGGTAAAAATGGTTTTTCTTTGGGTAACACCATGCAAACCCATTACTCATCATAACAAGAACATTTAAATTGGCTTAAAGATTGCCAAATGCACTAAAATATATTCAAATATCTCCCAAGTATTCCTTTATTTTGTATGATTCTCCAAGACTGCCTAGACAAGTGCTTGTAGCTTTCTTAGCAAATTTTTTTCAGAGGTTTGCCACTGCCTCCTTTCTTGAAATTACTTAAAGATCATGCAATGCAGAGGTGGTATTCAATCGGTTTGCACCTATTCGGGAGAACCGGTAGCAGTGATTTGGTGTGGGTCGCAGAATTGGTAGCGACCCCTGGCTGGCCACGCCCCCAAACCGGGTCACCCCGTCGCCCGCTTGTCCCGGTTGCTCTCCTAGCTTTCCATACCACGTGGTGACCATGGGGCAGCTCGGGTGGATGTGCGTATGTGCAGCAGCCCCAGGACATCTGCCTGCCTGCCCGCCCTTCTGGAGCACGTTTTCTTCCTTCTCCCGGCGGCGGACGCACCTCTTCCAGCCCAGGCCAGCCCTGCCCGGCCAGCAAGCAGGTGGGTGGGCAGATATCCCGGGGTTTCTTGCCCCCCCTTGTCACCAATGCCTGCAGCAGCAGCCCCTCGGCTGGCTTAGCTGGGAGCCACTGTTCCCAGGTTTCTACTTGCCTGTGCTTGGTCGACACCTCTTCATTTTGCCTGAAGCAGCTGGTCCTGCCCCTCACTCTTCCCTCCCTCGCCTGGCCTGAGAAGGTAAGGGCGATGGCAGGGGATAGCAAAGTGGCCAGGCTCCTATCTTCCCCTCTCTCCCCCCCACTCTCTCTGTCTGTGTGTGCGTGTCGGTTGTGAGTACAGGAGAAGGGTTGCCTGAAGGGACTGGCTGAACAAGGATTGCCAGCTGCGCTGGAAGCGTCTCATTGACTTCCATTTAACATAACCAGTGCCTCCAGCTCCAGCCGCACAGAGGCAGACGCGCATGTGTCCTTGCCATTCCCACCTACCCACCCCATCTGTGTGCAGTGACCCTACCCCCCCAATGAGGAAGAAGACTGTGTTTTTGCTTCAGCCCTCCCCCGTTGCTGAATTTCACCGCCATCGCCTCCTTGGCGGCAGCTGATCATGGGACCTCTATCTCCTCAAGTGCCAGACTCAGTGTTTTTCACTGAAAGTTAGGGAAAAAAAACACACACACAGAGCCGAACCAGTAGCAGTCTCAGTAGTGGCAGCAGCGGTGGTGGTTTCACCCTGGGCCCAGCCATCAGCCGCCCCAAGCTAAAGAAGCTGGCTGCATCAGGGGAGTCTACCAGCTGAGCGTGCAAAACAAGGCGCCTCGGACTGCCCGCAGTTCTCCTTCTTCCTCTTCCCCATCCTCTTTCAGGGGCTTCCCACCCACCACTCTGCTTGCTCTGTGCGTGGGTCGGGCCGGCTGCCTCTTTCCTACGCTGCCTTCTCCTCAGCGATTCCGTTCAGCACTCACCCCCTCAGCCCTCTACCCTGCCCCACACCTGCTCAACAGCTCCCCAAACACTGCAGAGCACCACCCCGCAGCATATTGCAAAGCTCAACATCTCTCTCTCTCTCTCCCCCTCACTCTGCCATCCCGAACGTCATCGCTCGCCACGACAACCAGCAGAAAACAAGCCAATGCAGCTTTCCTCCTTCAGGTTAGGGAGAGGGGGGGAACCTTCCACTCAGGTAGTTCGTGTCCTGTGGAAGCTCCACTGTTTGCCGCCATCCCTTGAAAGTAGCGAAGAGCGCTTGGCCCAGCCGCAGCTTTGAGAGAGAGAGAGAGACAGACACTGACAGAGAGGAAGAGAGAGACAGAGAGTAGGGAAGAGAGAGGGGAAGATAAGGAGAGGGGCAGAGAGAGAGAGAGAGAGACAGAGAGAGATACGGGGGGAGAGATCCATAGAGAGAGAGAGAGAGACGGAGAGGGGGGAAGAGAGAGAGAAAGAGAGAGAAAAAGAAAGGGAAAGAGAAAAAGAGGGAATGAGAGAGGAAGGGAGAGAGATAAGAAAGAAAAGAAAGAAAAAAGAGAAAGAAAAAAGAGGAAGGAAGCGAAAGGGATAGACAAAGAAAGGGAGAGATGGAAGGACAGGACAAAGAAAAAAAAAGAAAGAAAGGGAGGGAGGGAGACCATGAATGAGATATATGGATGGGAGATATAGATAAATACATGGAAGGAGGGAGGGAAGGAGAGAGAGAGAGAGGAAAAAAAAGGAGAGGAAGGACGGACACAAACCCTGGCTTCAGACGACTCATAGAAGCACACAGCAATCTAGGGCTGGCCTGCAAGGGATCTTGGAGGTCATCTAGTCCAACCCCCTCCTCCAGCAGGAGATCCTTACAGAATCATAGAATAGCAGGGTTAGAAGTGTGTGTGTGTGTGTATGTGTGTGTGTGTGTCTGTCAAAACTCCAAAACAAGTCAATTAGCTCTGGGGAGATCAGTCATAAATTAGAACACTTGCTAAGCAACCGGCCATTAAGCGAGGACCACTTGTATTTGGTTTGCTGGTCACATGGTCACCTGACCACGCCCACCCACATGGCCACAAAGACATGCCCACCCAGTCACATGGCCACAAATCCACACCCATCTGGTCATATGACCAAGCCCCACCCAGTCATATGACCACCAAGCCACACCCACAAGTTAAGCCACGCCTACAGAACCAGTAGTAAAAAAAATTGAATACCACCACTGATGCAATGACTCTGTTTTTATAATATATAGGTAGGCCTTGAGTTATGAGCATTCAATGACTGTTCAAACTTACCAAGGTGCTGAAGGAAGGAGTTTATGACTAGTCCTTGAAATTTGAAAAGATTTTCTGATAAGTAGTTTGATAATAAAGAAAAACATTTGGGAGTATAGATCCATTTGGGACCAGAATACCTGACAGTGAACATTTCTCCTGTTAAAGATGTGGCCTATGACTTACACACTCAATGTTAATGAAATTTGGAAATATTTTTCTATAAAATACATCCACAATTCTTATATTAACAAGTAATTTGAAGAAAAATAAATGTTACTTGAAAAAAATTAACAGCAGTTAAGGCTGCCATTAATAAATTAGGATGGGGTGGAGACAAAATATAACCAAAATCCTTGACTAATTGAGTGGGAATTCTCATATTCAGCAAATCCAAATTAATGTTATTTTGCAGCTAATTTAATATATGTAGGGAGAATACAAAAAGTCTGTGTTTTTCCATTGAAATGATTCACTGTATTACGTTAGACTACTATTGTATCATAAATCTAAAAACACCCATTTTTATTTAAGAAACTGATGCATCTAAATTTATTCAACAGACAATAGCTCTCTAGGACTTCAGACCTAAGTCTTGTCCTTGTTATTCCACCCAGATTCTTTTTATACTACAAAATGCCAAGAAGTAATCTTAAATCTTGTTAAAACAAACTCAGTGCTCTCATACTGAACCTTATTTCTTCCACTGAATTCTATAAAATTAGACCAGTTGCTCATCCATATGGAGAAAATTGCGTATGTAGGTTTCTGTCATCAGAATGTGAGACAATAAAAACAGACGTAACGATTGGTAGCATATTGTGCAGTGCAGTTTTTCTCACCTTTAAGAAAATGTCTACTTCCAACCGAGTCTCTTCAGTGTTAATGAGATACACTCTTACTGTATTACTCCACAAAGTGTGAGAAAACAAAGGAGTGACTTGCAATAAACTGGCAACAGCTGCATCCCAATCATCTGTACAGAACAAAAGATAAAGAACACCAAGCCAAACTTTCTTCTTTCCCCATTACCAACCACTCATGGAAATTCCATGTCCCATTCCCACAGTTCATCCTTTTCTATTTGCATTACAGTGCTTGGAATTTGCTTCCTGTTCTTCCAATTCAACTGCCATAACGACATACTGTCACAGCAACTGGGGAAAGTATTTGCAAAATTGCTGAGATGCTGTCATTTCACTGTCACAGTTCAGAGGCAAGGGCAACAAGAAGCTTTAAAAATTTCAGTGCTTTTGTTTACATGTTTTCAGTTCATCTTCTGTCGCAGAGCTTCCATTACAGTAACCTCAGATTTTCTTTTGTAAACATTACAAATAAATGTACTGAAAACATGGGAAGATGCTAGCAATTTATTTCCTTTTCGTGAGATATGTGAGAGCAAAGATTTTTATTACCTCATAGCTCAGACAACGGGATACTGATTAGATAGCATTCCCTGCACTCTTCCATTGGTTAGCTGGATCTCCTGGCTCATGCTCCACACTAAATGCTCCTTGCTAAAAAAGTGTCCAAAGCTGTATCTTCTAAAAGATTTCCTCTAAAAATATTTTCTGCTTATCTACAAGTTATCAAATATTAGCTTTAGTTTTAAGAAAATTATTTCCATTTGTATAAGCTCAGCTAAATCTAATTATTAGACCTAAATGTACAGATCAGTATTATCTGTACATCTTCTTATCAAGAAACTTGCTATGTCTTATGCTGGATTGAGATTCCTTTCTATTTATCAAATTTTATTCACTTCAGGTTTAATATTTCATACATATGCCTTAAAAATGAAGATTGCCTTAGAAGACAAGGGAAGAATGAAAACATCTGTACCAGTTATGGACAAAATGATACTATGCTTAAAAAGAAATAAACTTCACAGGCTTTAAACGAAAAATAATAATGGAGCACCTATTTAATATATAATAAAAGAGACGGAAAAACAAATTCTGTCAGCAGATTATATTTTACCTGCCATTGCTAGTCATCTATAAAGAAAGATCTGATCTAATACAGAAAGCAGATTCATATAAATATCAATTCTTCACCGATAGTAAACAGTGATGAAAATCTAAATACCTTTGCAGATGAAGCACGACATATTTTGAAGTCCAGCTCCACATTCCACAAGTTTTAGCCCTAAAACTTTATAATATTTAGGCTTGGGCTTTTAATAGGACATATTGTTGTTACTCTCATTCTTGCTTCAAGGAGCAACAAAATGCTTACCTCTATTGACATTTGCAAAAGGTCCTTCCACATCTATGGAACTATGTGCAAACTCAGGTCCTCTAAAAGACTGCTGAAGCTGCATCATGCTGCCCATGGAAGACTCGCTTCCCAAGGCTCCTCCCATCCAATATTCTGTCTGACCTCCAGCAGCTTAAAATGAAGGAAACAAATGCCAATTCAGTAAATTAAATGTAATCAGAACTAGTTATTCTTCAGAAGCAAAAAAACAGGAAAACAAAGAGTTTTCTGAAAGGAAACTAATGGAGCTGTAATTAAATATGTCACTGTAAAAAGTATTCTGGTCTGAAGGTGCAAGATACAAAAAAATTCACCTATAGTAAAATTATTATTATGGTGGTGGTGATAGTTGATGTTTTCAGAATATTATGAAAAGGGGTAGAAGCCTTCCTCTCCTGCCCCAAATATTCTTACTAATCAGGAAATCATAATAAGATTTGAAAACCCTAAACTGGATCAGAGCAGATTAAAACCTACATGGATGACCAAGTGCTTTAGGAAATTCCAGAGTTATGGGCTAGAACTGGGAACTCTACAAATTTTCCTGAACTTTAGTGATAACCTACTTTTTTTATATTACTGTCAAGTTTCTTTGTTCAGGTTTCGATCTTAAAAAATGATATGCCCAGATCAAGGTACTGCTTTTGCATTAAGAAAATTCAGTTGATAACTTATTTAAAGGTAAAAGAGAGAAGTCACTATTTGAAAATAGGAGAAATTGAAGAATCCTTGTTTAAAAGATTAAGCAAGAATCAATTTAGCTATTGTTATTGCTTAGAAATTATTTTGATTTTTTGACAAAATATTGCAAAGCATTTTTGTTTGTGCCATTGTAGACTGCACACATTTATAAAACATATCTAGGCAACTGGTAAATGCAACATCATTCATACCAGTAATTTCTGTACAGCTGTCATCTGAATCTGATTCTCCAGGATCAAATATTTGGATACCCTGAACTTGCAACCTCTGAAGTTTTGCTTCAAACTCTCGCTTGGCCCTCAGTAGATCCTGAATTTCATTTTCCTTGGTTTCTCTGAAAATCTATAAATGAAGAAAGTTCTGAACAAGTATATTTTAAAACATTATTCATATTTCACTCTACGCATAAAATTAATGTTTCTTTTCAATTAAGAGTTTATCCTTTCCCCCTAAATCTTAACAGAATTCAAATTACCTATAAATTTGTGTAGATAAAAGGAATATATCTACAAGTGGAACTTTCAATAATTTTTAATATAAAGTAATCTTTAATTCAAGGTTACAGCTATCAATCCTGGTTTCTAAGATAGTTCCATACATAGTATGTGTGCTTTCCTAGGCTATTTAAGAAGAGGAATTCCATTATTAATAGTTTTACTTCTAAAAAATATTTATACTTAAGCAAGGCTTACAGCTTTCCGAAACATGCTCATTTATCCTGCAAAACCAATAAATTATTTACTTTGAACTGCCTCCTGACTTTGTCACGATCATGTTCAAATGTAGCTGCTCTTTCCATAGCTTGATATTTGGCCTCTACAGCACTTTCCTTTTCTCTGAGGATTTTCTGATATGTTTTCTGAAGTGCCTGGGGGAGGAAAAAGTGACATCGTTACCCCTGGTCTAAAAATTTTCATTTTTTCACTCTATTCATTTGTTTGATTTCAGAAAGCTTCCTAAATGTAATTTGAGTACATTTGATCTTTTAATCCAGGGTTTAAATAACATTCCAGATACAGCTCATCTACAACTTTTAGCATCCCTATTAGCTATTCTGGGTGAGACTAGTAAGAATTACAATACAAAAATATAAAGGTGGCCACAGATTTCTATTTTAACAGAAAGCTTTTTGTCAATCCTAGTGCCATTAACCCATGCAAATACCTGAAGCTCTGCCCTCAAGCGCTTGTTTTCCTTGTCCAGCTTGGCCTCTTTTTTCATCATGGCAGCCACCTCATTGTTCTTGCTAATGCGAAATATCTCGTATTCTTTTTTCAGGCGGTCACACTCTGCCATGTATTCCAGCTCTTGTACAGAAGCAGTAGACTTGAAGCTTGCGCCAATGAGGCCTCCAGGCCGGGATGCACCTACCCGTCGAAAAGAACTTCGCAGAAGACGGGCCTTGGGCTTTACTTCAACAGGAATTTCGCAGGCCTCACCACCCCCTCCCTCATATGGATCTTCAATCACCTCCCCAACAATGACCATTGGATTAACCAGAGATGAAGCAGATCCCATAGTTGAAGAACTTCCGTTAAGCACACACTTTAATGACAGATTCTAACTATCTCAAGATCCTGCTAGATGTAGACTTTCTTTAACGCCAAGATCTACAGCTGCTGCTCAATACTTGGGCCTAAGATATTGCCCCAAATCTTTCTTCTTGTCTGGTTATCCATAAATGGATGCTTTTGCTCCAACCAGACTGCTGGTTTTTAGATCAGCAAATACTTAAATTTGTGTGTACAAAGTAGTAATATCCCCCCAAGTCAAATTAAAAAATAGATTATTCTGTTAAAGTAAGAGCATAGGCTGCTGCACATAATACATATTTCATTGATAAGGCTGTTACTACTATAGATTCAATATTCATTAACACTGGTAAAAATTATCAGTACAGTCATGGTGAAGAAAACATTCCTTGTTATCCTGTTATTGGGAATAGTTTAGTGCTGGTCGTCACCGGGGGCCAGTGGCTTAGCCTACCAACTTTCCACACCTTTCCTTGGAAATAAAACTGACTAAATCCTTATATCCCTGAGCTTTTCTCTTATGTAATCAAAGCAAACTGCCCAGCAAACAGGCACAAATATCTCCAGTATAGTCCTTAAAGGGGTGCTGCAAATATTCTTGCTGTCGTTTTCCCAATAACAAGCAAAGTTACCTCGGTCATCATTCTGCCCTATTATTTTCCATGCTATCCGTTGCTCATTTGGTTCAGAAAAATGGAAAAATCGAAAAGGAGGGAATTGTTTTCCAAGCAAATGGAGGGTCAATGTAGAGTTTCATTCCGGAGCTTCCCAGAGGAATCCCTTGACATTCCAAAAACGAAGGGAATGTTGAAGAGCGATGGAAACAGTCAATCAGCCAAGCAACTTGGTCGCTCGGTCCCTGGTTGCTCCCACCTCGGCCTCTTTCGGCTGAGCTGCAGCCCAGACGCTACTGTCCGGGAAAATATTCGGCCTGGGGGTGGGCAACCAAAGCAGGAAGTAGGCAGTGACGTGGCGGCTTTCTCCCGGCAGCTACAACGGGCTCAGGCGCTCTTGTGGAAAGAAAGCGAACTTTAGTTGTCTTTTCATGACTCACGTTCCACGGCTGAGACTCGCCGAAAGAGAAGGCGTCCTCTGAACACTTGCGAGAAAGGCTTGGGCGGGCCCTGAGATATGTTGGAACACAAATCAGCGGTATCTATCAGTATGCGGTCTTAGCACGGCTATTCTAGCAACAGATGAATTGTACAATAGCCCCGCGTTTTTCGAGGGCGCTGGTTGACGAAGTGCCAAAGGTTCTTTTCTCGACAACAATTGTCTCCACTTCAGACTGCAGGGGGAGAGGTTTCTAAAACAAAGGAAAAGCCGAGTCACACAATGAATTTTGCATTGGGCTGGAGAAAGCCCGTATATCAATTTAAGTTACAACATTTGTTTTATTTCAGGAAGACAACCTGAACATATTTTAAAATACCACGTTTTATGGAAAAAGTATACAAAATCCCTTTAGTTTCAATGGAAGAGGAGACGAGAAAATAACAGAAGAAGCGGGTGGAGTGGGGGACAAAAACTATTTACACCACCTTTTTATCGTTGCAGCAAATGTTTTTTGCTAATGCAAAATATAGTTAAATCCCAGGAGCAAAACTCCAAAAATAAGTTAAAATAGATTCCTATTCTTAAATATATTTGAGATGTTTTGGCGTTCCAAAAACAAGCTACATTCGATCCCACAATATATCGCAATATCTAGATTGATATTGTCTTCAAATGCAATGAAAATGGGTCGTTAGAAATGAAGAGACTTTTAACTATTCTTTGACGATTCAGCTAGCAAATTTAATCAGGAACAATTAGTTATTATATCCTTTAATGTAATGTAACAAGGCATCCAGCTGTTCATATTTTTAAAGATAAGAGTCGTTTACCTTATAGAGGTTTAACTAATCCTGACAAACATGAAACTTAGCTGCTGGCAAATGTCATCTTCCTGGTAGCTGCTCCATGCAATTATAGCTATTCTGTGTAACATTGCTTGTAAATAAGTGTTATACATTTATTATGAGTGCATTCTCCTCAAATTACAATTGACTCCTAATAGTTTATTAAATAGGCAGAGCCAGTTTTTCCAGAAACAACATGCAAAAGAAGAGAAAAAGTTGATAGTTGATCAAAAGTTGATAGAAGTTGAACCCCTATAGACAAATGCAAACAGGTTAGGTGTGCTGGATCACCTTCACTATTTAGCTTTAAAGTTAGCTTTGGCTCCTCAAAAATCATTGTCAAATTTAAAAATAAAAATACACTTTATTGCCAAAAGACTATTTTGCCTTTGTCTTTCTATTTCCACACTTAAAAACTACATTAGAGTGTGGGCAGTACATTTGCCTGAAAAACTGAGGGGTTGACCACAGGTTAGAAGGTAGGTAGGGAGCAGTGTATTCTGCGGGTATATGAATTTTAAATTGTTAGAAAAGAGTTAAGAGCACTGAAAGAAAATGTCTTTACCCAGTGTTGTCTTGCCCACAACACAGAACACACAACACTATATTTATTTTTTTTCTTCCCTCTGTACTTTTAAGAACACCCCAAGGTTATAAGGGAATGTTTTAAGTTAATTTACAGAAAAAAAATCATTATTTCTTGCATTTATTATATGTTTTTAAATGGTTTTATCTGTCCATCTTTTTCTGAAGCATGTGAATCCAGTTGTTTTTTTCTCATCTGATGTCCTCGTTTTGTTATAACTGGTTTTTAATAACTGCAGAATTGATTTTTTTTCTTCCTCAAACCCTGGCTGCAGCTATCTACCCACTCCCACTCCACCTCTTCACCTCTTGCCTTTCCTGGGAGGATCACCACAAAGGGGGGAGAAGGCCTTGTTTCAGCCCTACACAGATGACTCTGCAATCTGTGGAAACAAATACCACTGACCCATTTGCTGCCTCGAGGAGACCTTCCATTCATTGAGCCAAGGAAATTGGGTTTGGTTCAGCCATCCACAGGAAAGTCATCACAGCAACCAGAGTGGAGCAGACCTTCCCAAATCTGACTGACCACCCTTATCACCAAGCCAAGCCTAATGTCACCCAGCAGACATGAAATAGAGGATCCTGAAATTGACCGGTGAAGACTAACGAGTCTTTTCAATCCCAAAAGACATCTGTAAAGAATATGTGGGGAGGGCTTAGCTTGACATTTTGGAGCATTGGAGTATTAAGGACTGGGGCCTTATGGATTACAAATATTAATTGATAGAAGACAAGACAGCATAAAAGACATCCTCAAGGATAAATATTTTCCTCTTTGCCTTCTTAATTTCTGAATCTTTTCTTATAAAGTATGGCTAGTGTCGATCGATCCTGTGAAGTATAGAATGTTGAAAAATCAAAAATGAGTTACAGTGACCCTTGTGGCGTGTAAACTTAATTGACTCTGGCACTGAAATACAGAGATATTGAAGACTGATAGAATTTGAATTGGAGGGAATTGGATTTGTAATATGTTTTTTTTTCCTTTTCTTATCAGACATGTGAAGTATTGAAGTGTTGGGGTGCCACTAGTGATTGGCTTTTGGTTGGCTTGCTCTTTGCTGTTAGTAGGATTGATGGATGTACCTGTTGTTAGCTTACAAACAGAAGAAAGAAGAGAAAGAATCAGAAGGTATCTTCTTTATACCAGCAGTCACCAACCCACTGTAGGCCTCAGAAAAAATTTGGTGGGCCGCAGAAGAAATGGCCCCCAAAAGCAATTAATCTGGGCTGAGCAGGAAAACAAGGCTGGTCCACCCACGTGGCCTGCCCATCCACTGACCACCCTTTGGCTGAGTGCAAAACTTACCTTGACTGAGACTGAGCAGTAGGGAGCCAAATGAGCTGGAACTTGAAGGTAAGACTAACAGCAGGGGAGGGAAATCCGTCCTGGGGTGGCTTGCTGATGGTGGGAAAGAAAGGCGATTATGAATTAACTGAGCAGCTACACTGATACACAGGGATATCAGTGTAGCCGTTCTGTTAGTTCGTAATTGCCCTACTCAGAGAAGGGGGTGCTGGAGGAGAAGGGGACAATGGTGGAGAAGCAAGCCAGGCATTAAAGACCCGAGAAGAAAGGCAGCAGCTGCTGCTTATGCTTCTGCCGGATAGCTGCAGCAAGTCCCCGTTGCCTCCAGGTGGGCATGGGGTGCTGGTAGAAGGAAAGAGAGAGAGGAGGGAGCAATCCAATGCTGGAGAATGGAATTAATGGGGAGCTGTGCATGGCTCTGTGTCTCTTTCCTTCCCAGCCTCTGGGTGGGTGGGTGGGTGGGGGTTGTGGAAGGAAAGAGAGAGGAGGGAGCAATCCAACACTGGAGAATTGAATTAATGGGGAGAGCTAACCGGAGGAGCCGAAAGCTGGGCAGAGCTCTCTTTCTTTCCCAGCCTCCAGGCACCAAGTGGCTTCTTTGGAATCCTAGCAGTGCCCCACTGCTTCTGTAACCAAGCCTCCTCTCTATTAAAGCCCAAACAGCAGAGCAATGGGAAGGAGTTCCCTGGGGATAAATAACTAAGAACAGTTTATTATGATGGCATTATTAAACTAGAATATTAGGGATTAATTTGGATAGAAGGCAGATTCTATTTGTCGGCTTCTAATCATTCAGTTAAGGATCATAAACCAGCTGATTTCAGCCACATAGCTAGAATTTTTCCTCTGTTGCCCTTTAGGGATAGTAACATAATTTTTTTTGACTGCTACAGAGTGACCTATATCAGGAAACAATTACACTAACTTTAATAATTTTGTTACAATAAATGTTTTATTTTGTTATGATTAAGCATTTGTGATTTTGTTATAATTAAATTATATATATATATATGTGCGTGTGTGTGTGTGTGTGTGTGTTTTCTGAGGTTCTCGCAGGTATTAGTATGTGGATCTTTGGTTATTCGGGTTTTCTCCCGCGTAAGATTGGAAGTATCTAGGCAACGTTTCGATGAAGTCTCATTCATCATCTTCAGGCTTGTGTCTTCGGCTCTGTACTTCTC